GGTACAAAAAAGGTAGGCCTAAGACGCAGGCGTCTTGCAGGCTACATGGGGACAAATGAGGGAACGTAGATCAATAGATCAACGATAGATGATAAACAAGCATCGAGGACTACTACATGGATCAAAACCATAAAGAAGGCAACCGCTCATGTGAAATTCTCTATAGGAAAAAGATGCTATTAAAGCCGCCTTCTAGATAATGAAGTCATGAAATGCAACGAGGTAATGACGATGGATAGATGGTATCAACAGGAAAATGGGACTCCTCAGAGGTTATTTTCAGCTCTGAATTTATCCCATGCTTCATTCAGGGTTCCGAACACAGACCCAGCAATCATACGCTGCTCAGTAGTGGCGGTGGTAGATATCTATAGGGAACGTTAATTAACAGCCGAATAAAATGCAGCCAATACCACACAAGACGGGAGTGAACATACCTTATCAGGGTGCACCTTGGAAATCCCCTTCATGTACTGAATCTTAACCTTATTCGGCAGAACCAGCTCCGACAGACCAATCTTCTTCCACCCAGCCTCGGGCCATAGCACAGAGTCCAGGCTACCCAGCAGCGCGCGTAAATTGTCTTGCTTGCCGTTCCTCCAGGCGGCGATTTTAGCATCGACACTCTCAGAAAGAGCAAACTTCTCTTCGTCGGCGCGCTCAGCCGCCTCGTTGGCCTGCCGCAGACGGCTGACTGCTTCAAAGTCCGATCCAGATGCCGACGTGGCCGTGAGATCGGACATAGCTGAAGCCTTCTTAGGCGGAGGCGAGGGCCTCTTTCTAGCAGGAACTGCCGGCTTAGATTGAGGCTTGTTGATACCAGCCGCTTTCTCGCAACGGTTCCGGCCTTGGATGCTCGTGCTACCACCGTGACCAGACTCTACAGCCAGCTTCCACGCCTGCGCGGCATCACCCCAGCGCTCGAGTTGCTCTAGGGCTTCGGCTTTGCGCATCAAAGCCTTGCCAAAGAAGTCTTTCATAGGCTTGGGCGCTTCGCCGGTGCAGAGATCGATTACCTCTGATTCGCCCTTAGACGGGCCAATGAATGTCAGGATGATGTCGGCATCATCAATGGCGGACTTGGGTTCACCGATCTTCAGGGCGGTCATAGCACGATTGCTGCGGATGATAATGGTGATAGGATGTTTGTCAGGGAGCATACCAAGAGCTGTAGAAAAGCTCTGGTGGGCTTCTGCATAGTCACCTCTTTTGTACGAGTCTGCGGCCTTTCCACGGTGCCGGTGTGTTGATTGAAGCGCCTCTTGGGATACAGGTGGGATAGACCGTGTTGGGGTTTTCGGGCGTAGAGGGATGGGAGCTGAGCGTATCGGAGGCGTAGCAGTCTGGGCCGGGGTAGAAGGCTTTGGACGACTAGTGGACGGAGCGGGAGAATCAAAGAGGTCAACAGTAGGCTCAGAAGGCGGCGGTGGCGCCTGGGGTCGCTTGCGTCTCGCCGGACTAACGTATGCTTGCGCCTGCTGTTCTTCAGCGGCAAACCGCGAAAGTCTAGATTTAGGATCTTGAGAGCTTGGTCGGGATGGACGCTGGAGGAAGTTGGGCTGTTGCCTTTGCTGAACTGGCCCCGGGGACTGTTGATCACGAGGCTGGGTTCTCGGGTCGGGGTGGTGACTTTCACGAGGACGAGCAGGTTTCTGAGGCCGACCATCCCCAGACTCAAGAAGAAGCGCTTCATTAGTGAACTCCTGCTGCTCTGTTTGGGATTGAGTCGGCTGATCACGACGACCTGGACGTTGCGGCTGCAGAGGAGGTTCATCCTGTGAAGAGGAACCATCTCTCATCCAACGTGGCTGGCTGGGGTCATGCTCGGTGTTGAATTCATTTACAGCTTGTTGGAATTTCTTGCTGCCAGTCTTCCAAAGCGAGCCAGCTGATTTCAGCAGGTTATTACCAAATTGAGAGGCGATCTGCGCAGGGTCTTTGTCCACTGATGCTGGACTCCGTCTGTCATGACGTGATCGAGATTCTGTCATTTCTTCCCTCATCCACGAAGGCCTGTCGCGGTTACGACTATCGCTCCTTTCACCGCGATCGGCAGAACGAGTTGCACTAGGATGCCCTTCGGTCTTCTGCCGAGATTCGGCATGAGCTTGAGTAAGAAGCCAGCCAACAGCGGCCTGTACGTCAGTCCCGGACTCTGTAGTATTCAAAGCCCGACGAGATTTATCCGCGGGGAATCCCATGTCCACTAGCTCCGCAATAGCCCGATCGACCTCGTTGGAAGGCATAGGAGATGCATCCTGGTCTCGTCCTCGATCTGAAGGTGTGGCAGATGTGGGAGGCGGCTCTTGGCGTGGGATATCTGATACCGGCTTCCCGAGCAAACCAAGAAAATCATCATCGTCGGCTTGTTGGGGCTGAGGAGCGGGAGCGGACTTCGGCTTCAATTTATTGAGGCCGAATGGGTCATCGTCATCAAAGGCGTCCATACCCCCCAGTGTTATCCTGCATGCTAATCCCCCCATTGGATGGCTCTGGGCGACTGTTCACGTCGATTTGGGGTGACGATCTCGAGGAGATGGGCACTGGGAAATGGGTCGATGCATCTACCGGCGCTGCAGCATCGAAGGCGGCTAGGATATCTTCATCGTCCGCGGGCGGTGGTGCAGATCGAGGAGCCGTTACAGGCGCGGGGCTCCGCGTACGTCCTTCAAAGTTGTCCCAGAATTGGTTGTTCTGGCCACCGTATTGCGATTCGAACCGACTGCGATTATCGGCTTCCTTCTTAGCCTTTTCCTCCTGCAAGCGCTTCTGCTGTTCCATGAGAGAAAGGTTCTTGTTTCCGGCGGAAGAATTGAATGAAACCAGATTGGCGAAGCTATCTCCGGTAGAAGTGGCGGGCTTCGCTGGCGAGCTTGAGCGGTTCGAGGTCGCAGATAACGGGGTAGACCTGCCGGAGCCGCCACTTGATGGGATACTTGGGTACAAGTACCCAGAGCTCATTGGCGGTGGTTTGCTTGGGATTTTGGAGTCGGAGGACCAACTCAAGCCATTTAGATCCTCCATGGTGAGCTTGTCGCAAAGGATGTAGGTGACGTCTGGTGGGTTCGAATGAGGATTAGGTCCCAGAAGAGGGATGAAGGTTTTCCATGATCTCACCAGCTCACAATATGAAAGAAGCTCGAAGCAATTTCAACGACCGTTTGCTATGCTATCAAGCAGATGCAGAACACTTGCCCCCTGCACGTGGGGGATCCAGACCGCATTAAGGCTGGCACGTGATACTGTGGTTTCATCTCTCGTATTTTGGAATAGCTTCATGTCTTTAAGTGTTATCTGAGCAAATATCATTTCGCTCATCTGGCTGTCCAATTTCTTGAGATTGGGGTTGAAGGCATCACAGAGATCAATTGCCTCTAACATGAACTGAGCTAGTCTAAGGGTATGCAATGACCTCGATGTGAGAGAGTCCCAGTCTAGAGACCTTCACTTATGACTTTTGTTTTTGCTTTTTTACACTATATCGAGATTTCGCAACAACTCAATGATCACACGAATTATCCTCAGTCCCTAGACCAACCTGAGAAGTATTCATGGTTATCGCCATAGTTGCTTCGGCCAACTGGCCCCTACAAACCGGAAAATCCGATAAATGGAAAACAACCTGTCAACACACCTACACCTGATGCGAGATATCTGTCACCCCTTGACCCAAATCTTCCATTTATGCACTTGTGCATGTCATCATACATGCACTGAGAAAGGCTCCGGAGTCTTACCCTACCAAGACGCTAAATCTCAATTTTATCGGCAATGGGAATATCCCTCTGCCGGCAAAGCTATGCCTGTAAAAAGGCAGGAAAAGCAAAACAGAAAGCGAGAATCCCTCGTCAATAAAACCAGCACTTAGCCTTTCCACAGTCTAAGCTTTTGGATCCTTTCCCGGTGGCCGTACTCCGTATAACGGCATACAAGTCCACCACTTGGGAGGTTCGAAAATATACCAGTAGCCACTCAAATATTCTGTAACCATATTCCGTGCAATTACTCTGTATGTTGTATAGAGTTCCTGTTGACGGTTTAAACGTTTACGGCCCATGCGGCAAAAGACTAAAGTCTCTGTTCAAAAGCCGAGAGAGATCGTCGCTTCCTAGCCCTAATCGGAAGGGACGTAACCTACAATATTTTCTCCGTACATAAATCATAGCAAGCCCGGCCGAAACTAAACCCAAAGCGAACTGCCGTTCAATCATAATGGAAACAAAGGATCACAGGATCTCCCGGCCTCCTTAGTTGTCGCCGCGGCAAGGTCGTCTCCATTTCTACTTCTGGCCAACGCACATCATATCCCAATTTGGAACACCATGTGTGGGAAATACTTGGCTCGGTCTAGAACTGTTTTGTCTTTTCTGGAAGATTAAAAGGGGGTAGCGGGAGATACATAATAATACTCCGTATAACAATAATATACTAGCTAACTAGTTCGTACTATTAATCTTCTTTGGGAGCCTCGAAAAGGGGCGGTTCCATCACGCGCTAAACTGATGACGTTAAATCGTTTAAAGTTTAAAAAAGAACAAATTGAGAAAGCTTTATGCATTAGCGCACAGACTAACGAAGTTTGGCAGGTCGAAGACTACCTTGGTATCGGATACACTCCATTTATACGAGGCGGAAGAGTCTGTCAGTGGCTAAACTATAGCGGCAAATCTCCAGGATGGGTCTTTGGCGAAATCTATGGAGCACGGAGTAGCAGTACAACATACAGATCTACATACGGAGTACTCAGTACTATGTAGATACGTATCACTTGCGTACAATGCTGTATCCACATGATCCGCGCTACATAATTCCTACCCACTTACCTTCGTATGTATTGAGATGCGAAGGTTGGTCGGAATGCGCAAATAGTAATAATGTCACATTGTAGCAACAAGTACGGGTACGGAGTATGGAGTAGTGACTATTGAACCAAAGAAAACGGTCTTGACTTCGTTAGTGTATATGTAACGATAGAACTTCCCAGGCTGAGGATCAACTCCTTAGCTCCGCAAAACGAAGATGATCATTTGGAGCGAATTGAACGAAGGTCTGCATCCTCCATAGCTGCATGCAACCGGTTGATTTGTTTCTGACAGGGTAGGGACTCCATTGCTTCCTCGCACACTTTGCCCTATCTCAGAGATGGTCCCATTGATGAAGTCTGCTGTATCATATTCCGCTAGCACTGGCTGCTGCGCAATCTCCAGTGGAAGATGCTTCCACTTGGCTACCCAGGCATTCCAAGCTTCCGACTTTGGCACCCAAACCTAAGTGTTGTGTAAATCGGGATTTTTAAAGACCATTATCCCGCCTCCAATTCGTATATACTCCAGTGTAAAACCCAGAGAATCCGCAGTGTAGAATCCGGGACCAAACTCATTTTCAGATTATGGCTACTCCCTCCCGGGATAAGGAAGGCCAGAGTTGATTCTGATGCGCCGAAGCTTAATCCTTGAAACCAAAGGTTTCCTGACTCAAGCCGGGCACCGACAAGCTTCCTAATATCTTTTTCCAGTCGAGTGAAGTTCTTGTCGAATCGTACCTTAACACATATGGCTGGATCTGGTGCTTTGATTCGAGAATACGGGTAAAGGTCGCGGAAGTTGTGGGTATTGAGAGTCTCTTTGACAACCGTTGGAGCGGTGTCTGGAATTGTTGCCATCGGGGATGAGGATATGACTGGTGGGTTGTTGCCCGAGCCCTTATCCCGGATTGTGCGCGGAAGGGTTCCTTCTTCCATGTGTCGCTCCAATGGCCACAGTAGGGTTGTCCCCAATCTCTATGTCATCCTCGATAAGATATGCAGGGTCGTCGGTGGCTTCAACGAGTTCGTCGAGTCCCGCCAACCATGCGAGACTGCGTAAAGATCCGGTCATTTGGGCGGATCCTATTGTGATGGAGTGTATTAGCTGCAGGAGCTCCCTATGCAAGAAAAAGAAGAAAGCAATAACAATTACTACGCTGGCCATTATGATCAAGCGATTCTCGAATATCCGCTGGGATCTCATCTCCAGGGTAGCTGTTTGGGGACGTCGATACAGGGCGGAACCCATGTTTTGCTAGGTTGCGGTGATGGTGTGGCCAACCACGGGCTCGAACAACATCTCCCTCATCGTAGTCGAAATCACAAGATTCATCCGACTCTTGATTTTCATGTCTTGATGGTTTACTCTCTGCTATGCTGGTGAGCGGTTGTTTGTCGCTGTACTCCTCTATTCGGAGAGATAGAAGCTGAGTAGTGTTGTCGAGAGGGGTCAGCGGCTCATCTGGGGATGGCGAGGACGAGTCTGAAGATGGTGATTTGGTGAGCGATGGATGAGAGCTGAGGGAGGGATTCCTCTCGCTTCCGCGTTCGATTTTGCAGCACAGGAACCATGTTTACTTTGAAGCTCAAATGGGAGACGGATACATAGTAGATGGGTGAAATAAGATACTGATAAAATAAGAGATGGATGAGAGTATTCACATTAATCCAAGGTTCTATTCTACCTACAATAAAAAAACATCAGGCCATTGCTACGTATATAGGTAGGCTTTATTTTCTGGCAGGAGCGATTGATTGCGTAAATACATGCATATGGCAGTAGCTAAATGAAGAAATTACCTGGACAACGGCCGTTTGTTTGAAACTATAACATCTAAAGAGACGTCTAAAAAGACATCCAAAAAGACATCTGATATAGGAATAGAGATATCTAAAAACAATACCTACATGTAAGTATTAGAGATGCCGGTGGCAAAGCCAATCAGGCCACATCTTGTGATAGTTAATTTTCCAAGGTTCCAAGGTTATCTCCAGTACTCCGTACGGAGGACGGAGGACGGACCTCGGGGGTATGTACATGTAGGTACGGAGTACGGAGTACTTCGTATCCAATAATCTAGACCCTCCCAAGGTCCCGAGGTCAGATTGGGAACATACGTATTATAAATTGTATCAGTATTCATTATTATATACTCATTTTCTAGACAAATCCCCGCATTACGATCCCAAAAATAAGATCTTTACTATTGATACACTATCTACTCTGTACTTCGTGGAGTAGGGAATATAGAGTCCGGGGGTGATATTTAGCTTATATGATATATATGATATATGTATTATAACGGAGTACTCCGTACTCGAGTATATTTACTAGGCTGTAACGAGAAGTGTTCCCTGGAAAGGAAAGAGTAGTAACTCCACTACAGCGGAACCCTCGGGAAGACGAGCCGCGCGGTAGCGAATGGAAATTGAATCGGTGGATCATATCGTGTCCTACCCCTGACTTTCAGGGCTCGGATAATTCTACAAGGCCACTTCCACACAATCCATATTTGCTCACTCGATATATGATGTACTCTGTACGGAGTATTCTGTACAACTTATGATCCCCCTCTCTAGATGCCATTCTCATAGAGAAAAAAAGAAAAGATATGGATAAGATGAAATCAAACGAAATCAAATAAACATAGTTAATCTGAAACGACCCAGCACTGTGGCCAGGCCCGTGCTTCCCGTTAGCTAGGCCCTTGGGTGCATTGCGGTTTAAATGGGGGGAGGTTGGGCTTTAACGGCCCGGAGATGAGGTTCCTAAATAAGAACTGTTAGAGTCGAAGGATTTCAACGTCATAGATGTCAGTGTGATCCTTCGCATAATCCACTGAGTTACATGTACAAAGTAATCCTGCAGACTTCATATCTAGCTGACAAATAAGGATCAGGCATAGCCCTGGAGGATTACTGTACGGAGTATGGAGTAACCTCGACATTATTCCCACAAAGAGGGGGCAGGTTGTAATGTGAAACGTTGGAGTCTGAACTTAAGAAATGTTGTAGGGGTTCATATTATATGACATGTGAGAAGCGACGCCTTCCTCTCTTCTAGCTGATAGGCTTGCTGGCCAGCAGGAAATACCCTGCTATCGAAAATCAATTCTCCGGTTTTCGGTGGATGTACTATTAAATCCCAGATTTATTCCCCCAATTACGGAGTAGGATTATGTCTTAATATTGGAGAAGGAAAAACCTACACAGTCTCACTAGCATGCGCTTAACAGACTCATACGAGAATTAACGCGATGCGCGATAGCTAACCATTCACACAACCTTTTGAAATATCCGAAGTGGGTTCGATATACCGTATTAAGACAAACCGTGCCTTTTTCTTCTTCCCCCTTCGAACGGTACGCTAGCCCGTGCATTTCCGCATGTGTTCACTTTTCTCCAAAAACATATTATATTACCCCTAATAAGGCATGGTCTGATCGATATCCAAGCTAACGATCTCTACACGTACCACCCGGTGGCCCTTGCCGCCCGGAACCAAAATTTACTTGATATTTACATTCCTATTTATGCATTCTCCCAAGATATGATTCGTCCACCCCTTGTACAGTGGAATGATACCCAGTCTCTTCTCTTGCGTTCCGACTGGTTCACTTCTCCGGGCCCATCGCCATCCATCTTACGGCAATCGGTGCCTATTTATTCCCGAGAGTGTGTACGGAGTACTCCGTTTACAAAGGCTTTGTATGCTGCAGAGTACAATTATTATTGTGGTACGGAGTACGGGAGTACGGAGCACCGAGTGCAATAGACTAAGGTATGTACATCGATGCATGATGTACACTAGTAAGGGGAAGCATTGAATTAACTCGGGTACTCCGTACACTCTGCATATCCTGCATATTTTCTGCATACTAAAGTACGAGTTGTGGATTGAGTACTTCCCAAGTTATTCGCTCATTGATTTTTTCTTTCAGACTTTGTCAGAGTCCATTTCCCCCTAACTAAGTTAAATAATATTCGAATTATTAATATTCGAACATCTAGCCCATACTAAATGGATTGACAAGTGAAAGAGCTCCAGTCATCAAGCCCCATAAAAAAATAAATAACTTATTACTTATTTTTACCTATTTTTACTTGGCTTTTACCCTTAAGAGTCTTTATTATGTTATGTTTGTAAAAAAAAAAAAAAAAAAAAAAAAAAAAAACATCACATCCAGATGTCACTTCCCCCTCTTTGTGAACTCCTTATCTGAACTATTTCTCCTCACCCCTCCTTTCGAACTTATCCGCTGGTGTCCCCTTTCAAACCCCCTTCCAACTTCTGGGGTGAAGCTCCCACTCGACACAATGGGGATCTTCAAGCGCAAAGATTCAAAAAACTCCAGTCAAAGCGAGAATGAAAATGATTCCTTTGTATCGGTCAACAGCGCTCGCACATCAAATACATCCCTGAGATCCCCAGGATACAAGGGAAGTGGTCCGCCTGCTTCAATTCCAGAACTCCCTATCGCCAGACCACCAGATCCAGCATTGGACCCGGCCGCATACCTACGGAGCATTCATGCAGTGCGCGAACGCTCCAACATCATCCTGAACAAGGCCAAAAAGAACCAACTGAACCATTTCGATGTCGACATGAGCAAATTCGAAGCTACCGCCTCCTACGTCGTCTCCATCATAAAGGTACATCCAAGTGACTGCTGTGAATCATATGAACTTGCGCTAACATGTTTTCTCCAAAAGCGAGATTATGCGCCAGACTACGAGAACATCCCCCCCACATGGTCGCTGGCAGCATTTCGACGTTGGCGGTAGACCCCGCATCAACCAGCTTCTCCAGTCCTGGCCCAGTCGCATTGATGCGCAGGAACGCACCCGCCGTTTGATTGATTTGTTTGTCGTCTCCGTTCTGCTTGATGCGGGTTCGGGAAATAAGTGGTCATACCGGTCGAAGGAGTCTGGTAAAGTCTTCTCGCGCAGTGAAGGCTTGGCTGTGGCGAGTTTGGAGATGTTCAAGTCGGGTCTTTTCAGTAGCGATCCTACGGAGCCATGTCAGGTGGATGGCGCAGGACTCAAGAAGGTTACGGCCGAGGTGCTCGCCAAGGGGATGCAACATTCTGAACAAAATCCACTGGCTGGGATTGAAGGCCGCGCAGGGTTGTTGATACGGCTCTCTGAGGCACTTAACAATCAAGACTTCTTCGGTGTGGACGCTAGACCGGGGAATATGCTAGGTGAGAAAATCCGGCTCTTCTGTGTGCGTCAGCTTTGATCAGATACTAATCAATTTAATCAGATTACCTTCTGGGTCATCCATCAACACTTGCTTCTTCCGTCCCTATTGTTCCAATTACCACTTTGTGGAGCGTGCTCATGGATGGATTCTCTCCCATCTGGCCCCCCTCCCGAACACAGATTGATCGAGTATCCATTGGAGATGCTTGGAAGTGCTCTGGTCTCCCCAAGTCTCCTCCTGCACAGCAATGGGAGAGCATTGTTCCATTCCACAAGCTGACACAGTGGCTATGCTACTCGATCATGGTTCCAATGTCGAAATTGATGCTCATCCACTTCGCCGGCAGCGACCTTCTAACAGGCCTTCCTGAGTATCGAAACGGTGGCCTTCTTATCGACCTGGGACTCTTGACTCTGAAACCGGAAGATATGCAGCGTGGAATCGATGCATATAAAGAGAATGCTCAGATCAAGGGTCAGCCAAGCGTCGAAGTGGCACCGCTCTTCTGCGCCGACGACGATGTAATTGTCGAATGGCGAGCCGCTACTGTCGGATTCCTAGATGAGCTCCTAGAGGAGGTCAACGCTCAGCTAGGGCTCAAGGGCTCCGAAGACCAGCTATCACTAGCACAAATGCTTGAGGCTGGCACCTGGAAGGTAAGCAACTTATCAAGGATTATTTCGGCTAGCTCAATTCTAACAATGAACAGGGTGGTCGCGAGATTGCGGAAGTTTCGAGACCAAACACCAAGGAACCCCCTATCATGATACGATCCGACGGCACTGTCTTCTAATACCCTCTATTTGCCATTTTAATTGATGCTTGGATACCTGGATACCTTCGTCCCGTCATTTGGTTTTGCTATTTGGGACGGGCTTTTTGATGAAATGAACTCTTCATGACCGAACACCTTCATACTATATTTCACGTGTGGCTTTCTGCTTTTTGCTCTGCTTATTTTTCCCTTCTACTTGTTCCTTTTTTTTTCCTGCCATTTTGGGCCTTTTTTTTCTTCTCTCTTTTTCCCTCTACATTTGAGGCTATTCATCTGATTTCCCATTGGTTCTGGGCGGCGGCTTATTTCATACTGCATTTCACATCTTTCTTTTCTTCTTTGTCTATTCTATATGTTTCACTTTTCCCCGTCGATAAAAGCCGTTCCATAGAAAGAAGCTACATGATTTTCGGGAGACCCATGGGATGTCGTCATCCCGTAACCTCGGCCCCAAGCTCAAATAAAACAAAACTCCACAAACAGAGCCAATAATAACAGTGTTAACAAGTGCACAATTGTGTGCCAGGTCTCATTCTCTGAGTAATTTGATGGAAGATACCTATGGACAGATTGCTAGAGCCATATTTTTTCCCTATCTTATCCGCCTAATCCTATCTCTATCCAACGGCGAAATTCCAATATCACGTGGATCGGGACAACTTTGTTCCGTCTCCGCATTAGAAGGCTGGAGCTTGTCATCTTGTCTCATGCCCTCTCGCCCTCAATCCCGTTGTCAAGGCAAAAACATGCTCATATTGGACTTCTAACCGGAAACCAATACCGTTAAATCTGAGTGACACTGTGAAGGCACTGAGTTGCTCCCCAGATCGACCCGAGTTGCCCCCGCAAGAGCGGGGCATTGAGCTCAACGGCAACCCCAAGAACATCTGACAGAATGGATGCTCGGAAGAAGAAGAGAAAGGTGCTCTTGATGGGCAAGAGTGGGTCGGGGAAGTCATCCATGCGCTCAATTATCTTCAGCAACTACGTCGCAAAGGATGTCCGACGCCTCGGTGCTACAATTGATGTGGAGCACAGCCACGTCAAGTTCATGGGCAACCTCACATTGAATCTGTGGGATTGCGGAGGGTGAGTAATGCACACTCGACTTCTACTCCGCGGAGCCATTCCACTAACACAAAGATCCCCATCTCAGACAAGATGCCTTCATGGAAACCTATCTAGCTTCACAGCGCGGCAACATCTTCTCAGACGTCGCAGTCCTAATCTACGTATTCGACATCGAATCACGAGAAGTTGAGCGCGATCTAGACACCTACCACGCGATAATCGAAGCGCTGCGCGAATTCAGCCCAAACGCCTACGTCTTCTGTCTCGTGCACAAAATGGATCTAATCCAAGCCGAGCACCGCCAACGAATCTACGACGAGCGCTCCGCCGTAATCCGCAGTCGATCCAGCGATTTCCGCGTCGATACCTTCGCAAGCAGTATCTGGGACCAATCGCTTTACAAAGCCTGGGCCGGAATCGTGCACAAACTCATCCCGAACCTGATCGTCATCGAGCGTTTCCTAACAGCCTTCGCGAAGAAAATTAATGCGGAAGAAGTCATCCTCTTCGAGCGTTCTACTTTCCTCACAGTTACCTCCGTGACATCCGAGGTCGGAGAGCTCAATCCGATCTATGATCGCCATGAGCGGCTTTCAAATATCATGAAGGCGTTCAAGCACTGCGCTGCAAGAAATACACTCACTACACCGGCTTCCGCGGGTTTCGTCGTTATGCACACTAAAACCCCCCCAGTTCAATATCTTCCTCGGCCGTTTCACGGATAACACTTATATCTTCCTCGTTGTGCCTCCCGGCGAGGCTTCTTACAACTGCGCCGTGCTCAACACTATGCTTGCCCGTGAGGGATTCTCGAAAGCAGCTGCCGGCAGTGGTGGTGGCGATGGGTTCCCTCTGCCTCCGCCTGAATCAGTGGAGGATCACGTGAATGGGACGAATGGGAATCCCAGGTAAAATGGTGTGGTTGATGTGACATTCGGACTGGCTTTGTATAGCTAGGGGATGGTGGTGTTTTCCCCCTCCCTCCCATTGGTTTTTCTTGTTCTCGTGATTTTCGACAGGTTTATGACAAAATTACAGCAGGCGCTGAATGATGGCGTTATGGAGAATAATGTATTTGATTTGTGTTTTCTTTTTCTTCCTTTTTCTTCCTTTTTCTTTTCTTCTTTTTCAACTTTTTGAGAATTGAGATACCCTGTGGGATTTCTTTGTACTTTTTTTTCTGAAAAATATCATGAAAAACTACCTAGGTACTATTCACAGGCTATTCGGAGAGCTCTCGAGTTTTATATTAAATCAATCTCCATCTTGCAGACACTATATAATTGGAAGCCCATTGCTGGTAATAATCGGACACATTCCAAACTAAACTGTTCTTCAAAAAGAAGAATTTGCACACACACTAATCTTCTTCATTCTATCTCAATTTCCCCTCCATATACCGTATAGAGGCTGGGTTGCTACAATAACCCGACAACAAGACCTTGAACATTCATTTACTTGGAAATACAATACTGGAGTGTCATAAGATCCCATCCGAACCATCTATATTTCCTCGCATCCGATGCATAAAGCGGTCAAAGGCAGAAGAGAGAGTAATAACATGGGAGGGATTTGATTATCTATCGGACCGGCCGGCCTCAACGAAGGATGAAAAAAAGGGTGGGAGCGAAAAAAAGATAACGAGGACAAGAAGGGGAACGGGGCTGTACAAAGTCAAATCATCCAGAGAGGTCGAATATTTTTCATTGAATTTCTGGCATGCGCATGGCAATGTCGCCCGACTGTGTGATGTATCGCACCCAGGGGAGCGAGGGGTATTGCAGCTGTGGGGATGATTGTTAGTGATGGATTTAAGAGATAAGGGCAGTGGGGATCCACTGCTGGTGGGAAAGACTTACCTTCGGTTCGGTGATCTTCAAATATCGCACTTGGATACCACTGGTCGTGAAATAGGGGATCTCGAACTTGACGTTGATGGGCCGTTTGGCTTTGCCTACGCCTCCGGCTCCGCCCATGCTACCTCCGAATCCACCGGTCATACCGCCGCCGCGCTCGTCGTCGCCCTTAACGGATGGTAGACCGAGCTCTGCGCGCATGAGGAATTCCTTGCCGCCGCCGAACTGCTTGATCTTCCAGATGATGGCTGACTTCTCGGGGGCATAGTGCACGGTTCCGATATTTGTGCGGAAGCGTGGGGAGTCTGCGTCTTCGGGGACGGGGACGAGAATCTCGACGTTGTTGGCGGTGCTGCGGCGTTTGAATTGGGCTTTGGCCTGTTGTGGAATCGGGGTTAGTAATTGATGTTTGCTATACTGGGTTTGGATATTACCTTGAGCATATATTCAATTCGGGATCCCGAGTGCGATTCAACCACGCATTCTACCCAGATCAACGGCTTCACTTGTGTGTTCAGTCGGTAGCTCATAAGCTCAAATTCACCATCCGGAGGGATGAAACTGATTGTGCGGTCATTCTCGAAACGTGAGAGTCGGACACACTGGTGGAACTTCACGTCCTCCATCTCGACCGACTTGCCTCGTGTAGCACGACCTGTGGTCTCGAACATGGCTTTGTCGTTCAAGCCCAATCGCAACTCTGGCATACCACTCAGGTAGCACTTCATCTTGACAGCGCCCAGAATCTCAGACCGCAGGACGTTTCCATTTGCCGAGACGAGAAGATTGAGGGACTCGACCACGTCGAGGAAGACTTCATTTTTGCGGTAGCGTATCCCCTCGCTACGCCAGGAGACAGCATTTGTGACGGCGATTGGTGGCCGTGCTTGGACATCCAACTTGTGTGACTCTTGAGTGATGTATCTGGTCAAAGCGCAGAACCGTCAGTTATGCTGTTTCACCACCACCCCGCGATACCATCAAGACCCAGTTGCTTACTCTTGTAGAATCTTGCTCTCTGTTGTCTGTGGGTATCCAAAATCCATCATCTCATCCAGCAATTCGTAAATAACGACGAAGTTATCCCGGATACTCTCCTCCTCCAGTACCTTGAAATATTCGGTGAAGACCTCCACCAGCTTGTGGAGGAAGAGTAGAATTTCGGTGGCATTTGTGTTTCGTTTGGTTAATGCGAGGATATAGAGGTTGCTGTGACGGATATAAAGGTACTATACAGAGGCACCCCTGTGTCAGTAAGTGGAAGCGCACAAAAGGAGACACTCAGGAGTGAGTGTGATCTGGGCCAAAATGTCCAGACCCGATGGGACGCACGTTGATTCCCTCGTGAGAGAAGCAGGGAGGCACTGCTGAGCTTTCTTCTTCGGCATCACTGAGGAGGATAGGGAATTTCTCGACTGCGGACATGGGAATATCTCCGCGATAATTGCGGGCCAGAAGGGTCTATAGATGGTCAGCGGGGGCCTGTCCCTGAACGCATTGGCGATTTCCCCAGCAAAGAGTCGCATCGCCATCTTTTGTATAATGTCCCATAACCTACCTTGCCCTTGAGGTCGAGGAAGAAGAGTGCCGACGCCATGACGTGTCAATGGGGGTAAATAGCTGACGGGAGAGTGTTGATGATCTGGTCTCTTAAGGTGGGGGGGAGTGTGAAAGCCAAAAAAAAATAACAAAGCCACGTTATGCGCCTACTGCAGCATTGTCAATCAAGCAGTAAGAACAAATAAATTAGCAGTCGATGAGGCGAGAAATGAAAGGAGCAGATGGATGATTGTGATGCCCGCATGTCCCAGACCGGAGATAGACGCCAACCTTAAAACGGACTAGCGTGAAAGATCACACATAAAAGCTCGTCGCGCACTTTTTATTTTCTTCTTTCTTCAACGCTCCCAATAGACAGTTCAAGGCAGTACAAAGTCCTTGTGATTTTCTACAGCTACTCCGGCATTCTGTCGGAGTGCTGTAGTTTTTTAATTACTACCTTGCGATACAGAGGCGCGGAGACTACGATCTTTTTTGAGGGTTCCATAAGAGCTGGCCGAGTACTTTCTCTGTTACTCGGGCGGCGTCAGAGGAACCATACATTTCTATAACTTGAAATTGAAATTTTTTGAAATTTATAAAATATCGAATCTTGTAAATCGTATTTCTGCCTTTTTTTTTCTTCTTTTCGATCGTAGTTTTGCTCCATTTAGGAGATATTCTGAACTTGCAAGTAGGTAGAACTCAGTGGTATTTGGCAGTATACAAAGTAGTCTGAGAAATAAAGTGATATAAAAAAAAACAAGTCGGTTTAAAAGTACATGTACAATCGTAGAGGTTCCCCGATTGAGGAGTTCACTCCCCAGTCAACCTACCACAGATGGAAATATCAAACAAGATAACGCCCTGAAAATGCTCCAAAGGAGACCAATCCCCCAAGTCTCAGACTCTTACGAGATAGACTTGAGTCCTAGAGGTTCAAGTATCCGTTCGCGGGCCACCTGGGTGGCAACGACTCCTCCCTTCTCTAACGAAACAGCGCCGACAATAGCGTACATGGTGTGCGCGAGAACGAGCTCAATACCAGAGGCACGGAGATCGTTGGGCTGCAGTAAAGACATTCGTTAGCTGATGATCAAGAACAAAGGTCTAGAATCGAGGCATACCTTTCTGGGACTCCATCGGAGAACCTTCTGCAACTCGTACTTGTTTCCAAGCTCAGCAAGCTTCGACCGCTCGGTGAGGATTTTCTTGGTTTCGCTAGACAGATTGTTCAATCCATCGAGAGCCGGGTGGGTGAAGGGCACGCGACCAAACTCGTCCTTGTTCTCTGCCGGCGCGGCGGCGCCTGCGTATGGAGCATCCTGCGCCAAAGCCAGAGATGCTTGCAGCTGCACAATGCGTTTTCCCAAGAAGGCCAATCGATCGTTGAATCCGCGGCGCCCTTGGTCGAAACTCTTATGTGTCACTGCCAACCACTTGGTCTCATCGGAGAGGAGTTTGTCGCCGCCATTGCCGAACAAGCGGATATAGAATCGGTCGAGCAGTTGCGGGTCTGCATTGACGTGGAAGGTCGGGCGCTTGGAGTCAAGGTGCAGACTGAACGGGGCTTTTGCCGCCGCGGGAGTGTAGGACCATCGGGGCTTTTCTTGTTGACTGGACTCCTCCGGGGTAGAGGTCGCGAAGGTGCGGGATGGGATGGCTCCTACAATTGGGCGAGCAGCAAATTTGGATGCAGCGCAGGCGGTCCTGGCCGCTCGAGAAGAAAGATTCAAAGCCATGGGGTCGGTGGTCTGCGTGTCAACTCGGAGTTGATCGAACGGAAAGCAAAGAATTCGGCTTGGGCGGTGTGATTCTGCCGACCATGTCCTCAGGTACGTATCTACACAAGACCCGTGAGGTCTATGTTAACTGTTGACTACATCTTGATTTGTTTTTTTATGACTGTAGTTCTCATGAATACTTTTTAGGTGGACCTAGATCTCCTCAATTGCTATCTCGGCGGTTTGGCATGCAGTTAAACAGCCTTGGAAGCCGGAGGCCACCGGGACCTTCACCGCTGCTGGTATCTTTTGCTCGAATCCTTGATTTGTGCATCGGATCCGAAGGGACTACCGCTACCGGCTGTGGGAGCCTACCACAGGCTAGCATGACTATGGCAATTGGGGGTGGAACGTACACAAACTTCTGGCTCTGCCATGTTTCGATGCATGTACGATCACAACGGCATATGACTCACATTAATTAAGAACCTTGGAAGCCCTGCGATTTGGATGTTATCTTAGCGGTCAGGCTATTTTATCTATCAAAAATGCTTGAATATACACCATACCGCTGTTGGCGGGCCCAAATCCAGCACATATAGGCTTCCGTTCAACTTAGGTAGGGTCCGCTATGACACGAGTGCATTTTCCCCAGCTGCTGATTGCTAACAGCTTTGACTCATGTTTTCTGCATGCTCCCATCATTGAAACTCGGGATTCGATGACGGGTTGGAAGAGGTCTCGCAGATCTCCCCACTACTTTGTTCAGCAACATCCTTCTCTGGAAAACGTCGCCATTATATGATCAAACAGCAAACTTGTGCTCTCTTAATTTCTAGGCTATAGGTCCAATAGCTCTGCCAGGTAACATCATACAGTTATATGACTGGCTAACGGGTGATGCGAGCACCGACGCAACATACCCTGAGCGCGGCCCAACTATCAGGGACACAGGCCTCTAGCTGCTGCAGAGAAACGGCAGAAAGTCGAAAAGAAAAGAACAGAATCACAAAGAATGATTCTAGGCGATCGAAACCCATACAACAGAAGCTTCGGTATTCTTCTTGGAGCACAACCGTTTCGCAAAACTTCCCGGGTATGCAGAGGCCATAGCTCATAGTTATCGGGAGCACGGGGCATAGCTGTTGAGTCTGCTTGGTTGCGGATTTCCGCAGCTGGAAAGCTCAGCTGAGGCACAAGCGGTTGGCTCGAACGGCCCATGCCTCTCTGGACTGCAGAATAACGGCCCTGTTGTATGAGCGTACCCTAAACTTGTCCCCTAGATTAGGCAAGAGACTACTGCCATGTACTGGGGGGCAAAACGTGATCCACGTGTATTGGTATTCAGTCTTATCTGGCCGTGCCCCATAGGTAGGCTTCCTTTTCCTCATATTGCCTCTTGTGGTCGTTGGAAGCTTCTACCACTTGCATACACATTCTTCTCACGACTAAGCAAGTTCGCAATCCACAATGGGCATCGTGGGAGCTCTGGATATAAGTACTGGGGTATGTGAATGGCTGGGGATCTTTGATAATCAAAAGATCATACCTAAGGTTGAATGACACAAAAACACAAGCTGTTTGATGTTTGATAGCCTCGAACTCATATGTATACTTTTGAAATCAACAAACGGTTGTTCAACGCAGACATTGTTCAGTAAATAACATCGGATAGGTAGCCAACGGCAAATCGTCTAGAATAAACCCAGTGAAACAGAATTCATCAAAAGGCTGCAAGAAGCCGAAGGCTCAGACCGTTGGTGAAACCCGTCTGCGGCTTTCTTTGGGGGCACTTGGTCCGGGGGAAAGGGATCTATCTATACCCGTCCATTGCGGACATTATACTATTTGCTTTTTAGGGGGAAATAATAGATCTCTTGAAGTGGATCTACTTGTAATTTCCGGTCGATGTTTGCTTCCGGGGAAAAGAAAAGAAATCAAAATATCATACTCACGACAGCGGGTGTCACCATCTGCGGGTACTGTCTAACGGTTTATACATCAAGTCTTCAAACGGGCCCTTGCAGACTCTATCGAGATATTGATCTTCACGGATGGAAGCCATCCCCAAGGTCCACGGATAGCAACGGGAATAAGAATATCGCCAAACGGCTTCTTGTCGTGATCCTTGATTAGGATGCTCGACAGGATAGCGGTGTACGACTTGTGTGGATGGCGCGGCGTATGTCCCTGCTAAACCTAGGTTCTGGAATCACTTAAATAGACGATATTGATCTTTCCGGGTTTCTAATTTTCATCCTTTAAAACACCAAAGTTCTTCGTCTTGTGTACTTTGCCCGTCTTTCGTTGAATATCTATACTTCTTTCTCTATCAGCCCCGATCTGTGTGCTCCATTCTACTATAACCACCTTCGTTTCGTGCCTTTCGAGATATTCAAATGGCTTGCTGCACTACTTTTTCTCATGGCTTCCAGGCCATCCCTTCATCGCCGGCCCAGGCGTGCTACACGTTTGCGGGATGCATCCTGGCATGTGATCACTCAGTGCAAGACCCTCCCTCGCCACGACCTTTCCCACCAAACCCACCTCCTAGTCCTGCTTAAATGGCAGTTGATTTGTTTTTCTTTGTTTGGCGTTGAGGCGACACGGGACAATAGGTGAGTGTGGTTTATACAGTGATATATCTCCTAGATATATATTGGCCAGATCGAAGAATGATATGAGCAAGTACTGACTTATTTTACAGATCATACTGGAAAACATTTCAACTACGGTCTTTACTGCGGGGATATGCATTCATGAGCGACTGGGATATCATAATGCAATGTGTATCGTTGTCAATGCAATATCAATTGCGGGTGGAAAAAGAACAAAGTCATGAAGAACGTTGGACCCCGAGGAGGCAAAATGAAGGAACAATGTGTGAAAGCGAACCGTGAGAGAGAATATGGATTTTGGGTGAGCGGTTTTTATACTTGAGGTGCATTTCTCATTCGTGTATCCATCGTCGGGCAAGATACCTAGGTAGCTTAATGGAACTATACCAAGTGATACCGACTGCATTTGCACATTGATATATAGATGCCAACAAACATCCATAGGTAGACCACAAAACCAGACGATATTAGGAGGGGCATCTAGAGTTTCAAGATTAAAAATAAATCTCCGAAGGATTCAAAGTCATCTACACAGTTTAAGCCTTCCCCCGGTTTTCCGCCGTTTTCCGTAGCCTGTCTAGAAAACTGGAGAAAATAGAGAACTTATTCAGAAAAAAGCCATATAAAAAGTCATATAAGAAGACGACCAAAAGACATGACAGAGCCGCATAAGCGGCCGAATATTCCTGTACTCATAGATTAAAATCATGGCAAGTAATCTAGCCCAATCCGAAACTAATTTCCGATGGAAATAGAAATAGAAAAGCTGAACAGAAGAAACAGAATCAGCGCCTTTTGAGCTTGCGCCAATTGACCGGATTCGTGTATATTTGAGAAAAGGCACTTTAATAACACATAAGGAAATTCGGAGGTATGAGGTACGGAAACATTTAAATAAGAGCAAGACCAACAGCGCTGGCAACGCTGAGGCCAATAACAGTCCAGCCAGTCTTGATAATCACAGGGTTGGTGAGACCACGGCCAAGATCCCACATCAAGTGGCGGATACCGTTCATGCAGTGGTAGGTGAAAGGAAGGGCAAGGGTGGTCTTGAGGAGAACCTTAGCCGCGAGAGGGAGAGCACCCATGGCGGCGATCATGGAGGCCGATTCGAGGTGCCAGCCGAGAGCGGGAGAGACGAGGTAGGCGGTAGCCCAGAGGTACAGGGAGCCGGAGAGAGCGACACCAGTGATACGGTGCAGTGAACTGCCGATCCAGCCGATCTGGGGCTTGTAGATGCTAAGGTGAGGGGCGACAGGGCGCTGAAGACGCTGCTTGACGAGGATCTGGCTGGGGTCCTCAGTGTTTGGGGCCGAGGTGACTTGTCTATAGACCACGATTCTCTGGTCAGTATGGGACTTCTGGCGATTGCGGATGACGTAGGATTTCGAGAGAGGCGCTTCATCCGAGGGTCGGTGAAACAATTGAAACTCGCCGTTTTAGCGCTGGGTAACTGACCTCGTCTGGATGTTCTTGCCGAGAGCAACGGCCATAGGGGAAGCGCCCATCATGGACGACCGCATAGCGAACGGCTGCTGGACGGCAACTGTTCGGGGATAAGTTAGATCGCAAATTCGGACAAGGTGGGCATTGGGGGTAAACATACGCCGTCGCATCGACTGCTGGACAACCTTCTGAGAGAACATTGTGATTGCGGAGTTGAGATTGTTCTGTTTGATCAGGATAAGAAATCCCAAGTGGCTCGCGAACGATCGGAATCAACGGACGACCTCGGGTACGGGAGTGTTTAGTCACGGGACTGACACCCGGTAGTCGGCGTCTGCCAATCAGATCGGGTCTATTACCAGCCGGAGTATCCTTTTTCCCGACGCGCTACTGTAGTCATGTGATCATCTCGCCTGTTTTCCCACTTTCTTTCGTCCGCAGCTGCTCCTTTCTTTCTCTTCCTCAAGAGTCTCCGCTCACGTCGTCTACCGGTTTTGGCTGGGATGATGTCGTCGTGTCTAGCTTTCCCTCACTGACTGCGGCTTTCTGTCGTGGACGCCGAGGGATCTAGAGGCTCTCAGAAGGAGAGTCCCGTCGTTAATCGCCCGTTCCACTCTACCAATGAGGGGAAGGGGTTTCATATCAGGGATACATACTACATGTATCACATCGGTTGATGTTTTTAGATTTACTAGGTCCTTTGGATACAGCATGGTGATTCAGAAGGGTTACTACAAATGCTAAAAAAGCCGGCATTGGCCATTGGAGAAGCATCCAACTGAGGCATTTATGTTTTTTTTTGCACAGTTGTCATGTCCGCTCGAGTTATGCAGCCGTCTACACTATAATAATCCGCAATATACAATGAATAATTCATTACAGCTGACATTGTTTATATTCTTACTTGCCTCCACCTATAAGATAGTTTTTGGTTGCCTCCGCCTAAAATATTGTCAGCTGTAAACTTCACCAACATTAAAAGGTTGGACATGTGGCCATATAAATTGGTTCCTGTCACATGTCAGGGGACCAACTAACTCAGATATACATTTCTCTTCTCTTAGATCTAAGCATTATATTTGTTCTACAGGTCAATCCTTTGATTATTCACAAGCAGAACAAAGTGCTCTAGGGCTCCTTAAAATCGGCCCGTCTGGTCAGTAATCCAAAAATTGAGCCCACAGGCGCCCAGCCTTGGAGGTGCCCAGGTGCAACCTCGGCACCTCGGACCTTCCCCACAACAGTGAGGTCCGCGGTTGTAACATAGGTTTATTATCTGGTCTTGTTGTGTTCAAAGACTTGATTATTTCTTTGACTCTATACTCCGAGAATTAGATAGGTGATCATATTCATGTTAGTATATCTACCCCTTGTTTAGGTTCGTTGTTTACTTAAGGTTACTGACTCCGCAATCATCAGATTAGATACCCCAACCTAACAAGATGCCTTTCAACACAGCCTTGACACGAAAGCTCGGTATTCGAGGTGGGCTATAAATTCGCTATTCCCTATATATAACCACCTGCTAATCATACATATAGTGCCCGTCGTACAGGGGGGTATGCAATGGGTTGGATACGCTGAGCTGGCCTCAGCTGTCAGCAACGCAGGCGGACTTGGACTTGTACGTCGTATACTTTCCAACGAAAGCCTTAATTGTATATAATATCTAACACCAAAATCCAGCTCACAGCCCTCACCCAACCAACCCCCGAAGACCTCCGCAAAGAAATCCGCAGATGTCGGACCATGACCAAATACCCCTTCGGAGTGAACCTGACCCTCCTTCCCGCCATCGTTCCCCCCGACTATGCCGCCTACGCCCAAGTCATCATCGACGAAGGTGTCAAGATCGTCGAGACCGCCGGTAACAACCCAGGCCCCGTCATCACCCAGCTGAAGAAGGCTGGCACCATTATCCTGCACAAGTGCACAACAATCCGCCATGCAAAGTCCGCCGTCAAGCTCGGCGTGGACTTCCTTTCCATCGATGGCTTTGAGTGTGCCGGCCACGTCGGTGAGCACGATATCACCAACTTCATCCTTTTGAGCCGTGCTCGTCAGGAACTCGGCATTCCGTTCATCGCCTCGGGTGGATTTGCCGATGGCCAGGGTCTTGCTGCTGCCCTGGCTCTTGGTGCCGAGGGTATCAACATGGGTACTCGCTTTATGAGCACTGTTGAAGCTCCCATCCACCAGAAGGTTAAGGAGGCTATTGTCGCGGCACAGGAAACTGATACTGCGCTTGTCCTGCGTCGGTGGAAGAACACCTCCCGTCTTTTCGCTAATAAGGTGGCTAAGGATGCATTGAAGGTGGAGCAGGAGACCAAGACTGGCGAATTCAGTGAGGTCCAACCCTATGTTAGCGGCCAGCGGGGCCGTCAGGTCTTCATCAATGGTGACGTTGATTTCGGCGTAAGTTACTTTTACTTCCAAAATTATGCATGTCTCATGTGCTTTTGCTAACTTTTTCGTCATACAGGTGTGGACTGCCGGTCAGGTTATCGGCTTGATCCATGACATCCCGACTTGCGAGGTCCTGCTCACTCGGATTGAGAAGGAGGCCCTAGAGGCCATGGCCCGGACCAGATCTTTGTTTACCGATGCCCCCTCCAGCAAGCTTTGAAGGGTTTTATGTTACAGATGTGTATTTAGCTTCATATTGTTTGGAAAGATCCAATAGAATCAACTAGTTGGGATTTTTTGGTTTTATCTTTGACGACCTGGCTTCGTACATTTGCATCCTGCATGGTAATTCCGAGTTTTTTCCTATCTTAACTTCATGCCACTCATGATCCACGTCATTTCCGGTGCTAAAATAAGAGTTACCCACTCCCCAAAGGGGGAGGGGGTTGGTCAACGGTCAGTAATAAGCATTCCCGAGCGAGGGTCCGTGATATTGTATCAAGGATCTGCACGCAGATCCTCGGATACTCGGGGCATTCCTTCAACACCAACCTCCAACAATAATGATCAATGATTTCAACGCGATGGCGGGGTCCTTTTCCAAGCTCACCTCACCCCGTAACTGGAATCGAAATAGAAAGAATGAGATGTTCTCTTCAAAGCCCGCCTTTTCATGCGAGGTCAAAAAGAAAGTGGAGACATCCTTGCATGCAATAATTGATCATCTGGGAAATTCTTGAAAACAAACTACGTTTCCGGTCTAAACGATTGGCTCTGTTTCAGTTGCTGATTCGATTTCTTCATTGTGCTTCCTGTTGTCGTGGCCTTTGTGCATGATATCATTCTCCATGATTGGTCTCTCCCGGGCAACCCTTACCACCGGCTTATACGGTGATGCTTGTTATGCTTTTATTGTGCACATTTACAGTTTAAACAGCGAGGATTAGGTGATATCGAGGTAAAATTAGGTGTGCTCGAGGTTCGAATACGCAATCCATCACCAGCAAGTAGATCAAATCCTGTTCCGTCGCACTGCAGTCGACATAAACTAGCATTACCCCGTGAAGATCTAGATACCAACATACCTCGTCCGACGTATCTCCAGCCCAGAATTGAATGCAGTTTAATTTAGTTCCTATCTTTGCCCTCCTCCCCGGAATAAGTTATTTAATTCATATATCCTAAACCCATTTTTCTACCTGCTACCCCGAGCTCCATCAATATCAACATTAAACCCAAGACACTCAACCAGACAATACTCACCACTACACACACACACACAAATCTTCACACAACCTAAATCCTCAAAATCCAAAATGGGCTTCATATCCACCCTATCACGCTGCATGCGCAAGAACCGCCTCTCCAAAAGACTCTCATCAACAAGCACTGAACTTCACGACGAAGACTCAAACGACCTAATCAAAACAACCTCTGGAACAGTCTCGACCAGAGCAAGCATGGACTCTACCTCAACCATGGTCCACCACTCCTTCCACGAGCCAGTGCTACCATGCGAGTCACCAGCAAACCGTATGAATACCAGGCCAGAGAATGGAAACATGCAGACCTTGCTCGATGCCAATACCACCCCTTCCCAGCCAACAGATCGCGCTACCAGGGTGCTGTCCAGACCCGCGTATCCCATTCTGAAATTGGATTGTCGCTCGCCTGTTGAGGCGCCGAGGAGGGTGCTACAAGCGCCTGTTGAGATTACGAACAAAGCTTCAGAAAATGTTGGTTATTCCGGAAAGGGAGCTTCGAGTGTTTCGTCCCCGGTAACAGCCCAGAAGTGCTTTTCGCCTGCTGAAAAATGTGTTTCTGAGAAGAAGGATAAGATGTCTATGTCGGCTTTGTTGAAGAGGCATTGTGGGTTGAATATCCCACGCTCGTCGATTTCGATCAAGACTTCGTCGCGTGGTCTACAATCGCCAAAGTGGTTGGATTCGGCGGGGGTTACAGAGGAGGAGGGGTTGGTGGAGAAGAAGAATGAGAAGTGGGTTGAGGCCCAAGAAGAGAAAGGGAGAAATAGTGTATTGGGGGGTGTTGGGTTTGGGAGATTGCGGTAAATGTTTGTTAATTGGAGTGAGAACTGGAGTGAGTGTCAGTTTTATCGGTACATAATTGGGATGGGAGTTTGAATGAATTTAAAATTGAACATCTATGTTTCTTTATATGGCGATAGATGGTGACTGATATTGTTCGTGTCCACGGATGATGAAAAAATTGAAATTGCGATCAAGAGGTAGGAAGTCGTTAGTTAGGGCTGCGAACAAGATCTAGCTTTCTAGTCACGCGCTCTAGGGGGACTGTGGAGGAAGTGGCTGCAAGGGACAACATATTACAAGATAGGGAGGGTTTAGGAAGCAGCTGTGTTTGATTGTGCTCTACATTCTACAGTTTCGAAACAGTGGAAATAATGCAAGAGAATCGAATGAATTAAAGTAATGTATGCGAGAGAAATCCAACACTAGACAGCAGCTAGATGGTCCCAAAGCACAAAACAAGAAGTATATGGAGCATAATCAGAAAATCAAAAACGGTCTTCTTTCTCCGAGGAGTGCCACACGATACAGGTTATGATACACGAGATGCGATCTGAACAGGACTTCTAACTAATCAAACAAGAGCCAAAAGCCTGCTTCCCATTCCCGAAATCGATAACAATCCACATCTCCACTCATGGCGAATTCTGCACCAAGGTCCAAAGAGCCGGCATGATAGCCAGTGCTTCTTGCATGATGCTAGAAAACATAGCGAGACGCTTAGAGGATGGAGCCAAGGGCAACACAGGGGGAGGCCAAGACCAATGAGGTCGGAGTTCTGTCGAAATGGTTAGTGGGGTTCTATACAGTGGAATAGCTGGAGTGCTTACGGCGCTGGAAGGAGAGTTCTGGCAGCAGGCAATGTTCTGCTTGCACTTCTGGTTGATGAGGTCCTGGATGGGGACACCGATGATGGGGATCTGGAGGTCGAGCTTGGAGCACTGGTCGAAGAGACCGAGGCCAGAAGCACCGGAGCCAGAGCCGATCAGGTTGCTGAGGGTACCGCCGAGGATGCCGGAGTTGATGTCGGTGGTGTCACCGGCGTAGACGGCCTTGTTGCAGCAAGAGAGCTGTGCCTGGTCACCACACTTGGCCTGAGCCTGCTTGACAGTCAGGTTCTCAGGGACTGGGAAGCGAACGTCGGTGTTGCCCTTGTTGCCGACACCGTTGCCACTACCAGCGCCACCGGCGGTAGGAGCTCCAGGGGGAAGAGCGTAGGCGGTGGCAGCGAGGCCGAGGACAAGAGCGGAGATAGAGAACTGCATTGTGATGGTTTGGAATTGAACGAGAGAAGACTCGGAGAGTTTAGAAGATTGAAGAATAGAGAAGGAAAGAGTGAATGAGAGTGTTTGATGCTGATGAAGAAAAAACCAAATTGGAGCGATGAATCACCTCATCTTTATAGATTTTTACTGGCGGTCTGTGAGTAGCCCTGACTCCATATTCCAGGGCCAAAATGCTTTTGCTTCCCTAGATCATCTCCAGTATGTCCCCGGAATGTTACTGCGAAGGGAAGGGAGAGGAAGATCGCTCCACTCTGTAGATCCTGTAGACCAACCAGGGTGCTCCTGTGGAGGCTCCCTGGTATGGATCTACCGCGAGGTTCTCACTTCACACGACCTAGGGACTGCCCTGACATTCCCTTACCCTCGCTCTCGTCTGGTCGAGACTCGTGCCCACAATTTTTCTGTAATGTTGGATGAAAACAGGAAACAGGTATGATTCAGATCTAGTGTGCTGTACAATTAATTCCTACCTACAGAACCACATTCATCGCCAATAAACCTAATCAAACTAAGCTTAAGGTCTTCAAGTGGGTCTCTAAGGGTGGTACCTGTACACTTCAATATTCCAACCCAAGGGGGTTTCTCCCTTTAATTTGACTTTGTCTCTGCACTTCGGGAGCTAAGGCATGTCACGCATACACTACTCATGGCAGGCTCCTGACTTTGGTGAGAGGCTACTAAAATTCTTCCTCTGAGTGGTCGAGTGCCCCGTAGGGTCCTGCAAGGGCGCTCACTGCACGGGAACTAAAGCTACGTAGGGAGAGCTAAGACACTCCCTTCATTGTTTAATTTCTCTCCAACTGCGAGGAATTAAGCACGGTAATGTTAGTCACAAGCCACCCCGTGAAGTCTCCGATTGGGGGTTTCACTTTCCGAGAGCAATGTCGATTACCGCCAAGCTTCCTCCCGGACGGGTTCCCACAGAACCCTAACTCGGTCCTGTTTGCAGGGTTTGAGGTTGTACACATTGTCCCCTGCCTTCAATTTTTGATCAAACAATCCTTCCCCTTGGTATATACATAGTTCATCCACATTATTAGTGTACATTAGTTCTCAATGTAGTCTCATATCGCATTTTCGAATCAAATTTTCGATGACCTTGAGAATGGCCAGGGTCCAGCTAGATTCATTCAATGTATATCACAATTTATTCCTATAGACGAAAGTCCTATTGGCTCTAACTGTTGTGTCCGTATAGTCACGCTTGAATATGGATGATATGGATGATATGGAGAATGTAGTGGGAAGTGACGCCTGATTTCCATTGTGCTGTTTTGGTATGAGATAGCACATCACTTGAGTAGAGTAGCTGTTACTCAAAAGCATAGCTATTGTTACTCGAGGCTAATTCCCAAAAGTAGTAAATTGTATACCACAAAACGAATTGATGGTGAACTAGGTGGTGTGATGTAGTCCCCACGCAATGGATATACCAAAATCTCATAGTTAGGAAATGCTTGGTTATAATTTATTTTTTCTTTTCTTCCTACTAGACTGGTGAGGTTGGATTGATGATTTAAAACGTAGAGAGATTCATTCAAGATATATATCCCAACAGAGTGCGGGTATACACTATATTTTTACAAACAGCGCCTAGAATATATATCTACAACATATGCTTAACAATAAAAATTGTATCTTTTAAATGTGCAATAGTTCAATGAATTCAACCATATTATCTACCGATGTCTAATACTCAGTATACCACTTCTACACCCGGTGGTCCATGGTGCCAATCGGTTAAAGTGTTTCTCTCCTAACGCCCCCCATCCCTGTTAAATTAAATTATTTAAATAATTGATCACCAGTTCCAGTACAGCTTTCAAGGTCGGAATCGATCCAATCGATCTCTCCGTCCAGTTCTGACCAACCATGTTTACGTTAATGGGCTCCAACTCTAACGAACGAGGCGGCTATGCCATCGTGCAAATACTGTTCTCAGTCAGCCATTTACTAATTAATAATTTTGGCCGCATAAATAGGAACATTATCTTATATAGACGGCTTTTCAGGATCTTAATAAATGGAAGTAATTGCAGCCTCCAAAAACGCGCCTTTGAACCTGAGCATGAGTCTAAATTGCCAAGGTGCCCGCTCAAGTAGGCTCCCGGAGATTTTTGATCAAAAAATAATTGTCAACCCTATGTAATCCTATAAAACATCTATTTATCTAACGAAAATATATCGCTATTTCGATTCAAAATAAGAATAGTTTTCCCTCAGAAATCAAGGGAAAAGATCAGACGGCGCATCTCCCGAGAAGACCTCCAACCCCGAAACGAAACCATCCCACAACGTCTTCGAAGTCATGGGCGCATTGCTATATGGCTGAGCACCAGAAGCCAATAACAGATCCTTCATCTGGGGAAGTAAGGCATCCACCGCCTGAGCTTCCATTTCGCGTTGAACTTCCCTGCTGAGTCCCCCTTGTTCAACATACCACGCGGAGTCTTGCTTCACAACTCCGCTCTCATAAAGGTTAAGCAAGTTAATGTCGACATTCGCATCTATAGCAGCTTCATAGGCCATTCTGTGGCCTATTGCCTCAACTAATGGAAGAGTGAGCGGAAGGATGTCCCGATTGAATCCCTCGCTTCGGTGAGCTCCCTTGGCACCTTGGTGAAGAAGGTCCCTCGCTTCAGAGAACAGGGAGGCCTCATGTCGAGCAATGGGACTGCTAGGATCGTTTGGTGGTGGCATTTGATACCGACCGATCAATAGTTCAGATGCGAGTCCTTTATTTATTGTTAGTCTTTTCTCAAACATTTTCAAAGCTTTAGACACGTACGGATGGCTAGCACGCGGATATCGCCCTCTGCAGTCGATGCACCACGCATTTCCAGCTAGAAAGATGAATTAGTCAAGCAAAAGATGAGTGAATAATTCCGAGATCTTACCTCCATCTGAAGAAGCTGATTATGCTCATAATGTCCATGCCATCCACACCGCTCGTTCATAGCATTGGTGCTTTTGTTGAAATGACCAAGTGATACCGCCTTGAAAGCGGTGGCTATACCATGGCGCACTCGCGGGTCAACGCTCTGTTCACGGAACGTCATCGCTGCAGAAACGAAGAATGCTTCTAGCACGCTATACTGCGCGATGGTATGAAGGATGGGCATATGTTGAGTCCGGAAATCAATAACTGCCATTGGGCTTCCATCCTGGCCGCTGACAAGCCTGTTCTGACTGAAAGATGCGGCATTGAAGGCGGCCAGCTTGAGTGATGGGATGACACACCCCGAGAGGAAGAGAGTGCCCACTGCAACGCGATGGATCGATGATAAGAATGCTTCGCGCTTGTTTTCTGTTTCTTCCGCACTGCCAAGTAAGGCAGAACTTGGTAGACGGACGTGGTCGAAGTATGTGAGAGCGTGATCGACTGGATGGGCACCAGTTCGTTGAGGCAAAGCCCTTTTTATAAATTAGCTCTCACTGTATATGTACGGCAGGGGAGGGTATTTGGAGGCTCACTTTGATAATACACCCTTGCACATCTCTTTTCCGTTTCCAAGCTGGACTAGGAATGGCCGGATCCCACAGTCTTTATCCTCATTCACAAGACGAGCCATTACAATTGCAACTACGGGGAGACCACCTCTCGGGGTAGTTGGCGGCATGACCCTAAGAATATCCGTTAGCCAATTTCAAGACAATTGAGGTCTGATAGTTCTCGGCTTACTTTGCATCATTTGGGGAAGGAGTGTGAAGGTCGATGTTACCATCAGGTAGAATTGT